GCCGGCGCCTCTTCCGGCCGCGCGGGCCAATGGCAGCGCGCCTCCATTACGTAAGCGCGAGGGGGCGGGCCCTGGCGCACGCGAGCTGCGGGGGACGTCGCCCTCTGGCCCCGGGCGTTCCTCCCCTCCTGGGCGGCTTCTCCACCTGGCTTTGGGAGCCGCGTGATGGCGGTCCTGGCGGGCGACGGCGCCGCGGCGTGTTTCACAAGTCGCTCGCCTGCTGGCTCACCCGGTCCCCTTCCCACGCGCCGCCCTGGCCGACCCGCCCGGCCCGGCGGCGCCCTCTTGAGCACCGACTGCGAGGCGCCGGCCCACGAGGGGAGCCCCGGGACAGCCGCGGAGACTCGCCGGCCTGGGAGCCCTGCCACCTGGGGACACCCGCTGCCCCCGCCTGCGGTGAGACCGGGGCCGAGCGAGCCTCCACACGGACGCGCAGCCTTTATTCTCTCACCAGCCGCCCTTGACCTCACTCCCACGGAAATCCCGGTTATTTTACCCACCTGAGGTTTTTAGGGAGTTTGAGATACATGCCTGATTGCCCATTAGAAATTAATGGCCAGGCCTTCCTGACTGGTTTAGGCTGGCTACTAACAATCTACAGTACTGAGTTGCTAATGTTTTGGAGAATGTCTAAAGTCCTTCCCCCCCCCCCATTCTCTATCTCTTGACTGACAGGCAGTGGCAGCAAACTTAGATCCAGAGCTGTGGCGGTTGTGATGATTATTCCATCTGCTGATTATCTGGAAATGGCATTTTAGACACCAGCTTAAGTCTGGGTGATTTTTCCCGCCCCTCTTCCCCCACCCCTACATTGGTTTCTAGTGAGAGCTATGGGTGATGAAAAAGAAAGCTTCGCATCTGATGTCCTCACCCTGCCTGTAATCTCCAGTCTCCCACGTTTGCCTCTCCCTCTTCATCCTCATGTTGACTTTTTCTTTCATCTTTCATGCTCACCCTTCCTTATTGCAATTTTAAGATACCTGTTTAGATTTTATTCCTATCTCTCCGGTTCTGGATTGTAAGATTGTTTTCATCGCCATATACCCAGTGACTAGCGGCGTGTTAACATAGTAGACGTTGAATAAATGGATATTGACCAGATGAACTGACTGTCTTAAGCCAGAAATTGACCTCTCATGAAGCTATAGCTTAATCTTTAATAGTCATTATAGGCCGGGCACGGTGGCTCATGCTTATAATCCCAGAACTTTGGGAGGTCGAAGTAAGAGGATTTCCTGAGCCCATGGGATGACCAGCCTAGGCAACTTGGTGTGACCTCATCTCTACAATAAATCAAAAAATTAGCTGGGCATAGTAGCACATGCCTGTAGTTCCAGCTACTTGGAAGGCTGAGGCAGAAGAGTCGCCTGAGTCCCGCAGGTTGAGGCTGTGGTGGCCACAAGCATGCCATTGCACTCCAGCCTGGGTGACAGAGTGAGACTCCCAACTCCAAAAAAAAAAAAAAAAAAGTCACTATAGTCCTCTTGGTTGGATTTAATCTGGTGATAAAGGAATGAGATTCTTAGAAGCCCCAAAGATGGGAAATCCTAAGAGCTGTTTATGTTTGTCTAGTCATGAGTGACAGTAAACAGTGAAATCTGTCTGGCAGAGATAAGTCTCCTTAACTAGAGAGGTGATTCTCTTGTGAGGTAGGTTAGTATGTCACTCTTTACCATGGCCTGCATGAAATATCCACTAAAGCCAGATTCTTAAGTTTTTGAGTCATATCTCCTTTGAGAATTTTGTAAAAGCTATTGACTTTGCCTCCAGAAGATTCATATACATGTACATTTATCCTCACAGATAGAATTTCTTAATCTCAGCACCACTGAAATTTGGGCTAGAATTTTTTTTTCCTTTTTTTTTGAGTCAGGGTCTAGAGGCTAGAGTGTAGTGGTGGCATGTTTGTGTCTCGCCTCAGCTTCCCTGGTAACCTGAAACTATGGGCACCTGCCACCATGACCAGCTATTTTTTTTTTTTTCTATAGAGAATGTCTCACTGTGTTGCCTAGGCTGGTCTTGAACTCCTGGGCTCATCCTCCCCTTATCCTCCCAAAGTGCTGGGATTATAGGCACAAGCCACTGCATCGGCCTGAATGATTCTTTATTATGGGGATCTGTCCTGGGGATTGTAGGATTTGGAATCATTCCTGTCCTCTACCCACTTGATGCCAGTAGCACCCCATCTCTAGGGTGCATCTTTCTTTTTTTGAGTCATAGTCTCACTGTCACCCAGGCTGGAGTGCAGTTGCATGCTCACGGCCACCACAGCCTCAACCAAGTAGCTGGAACTATAGGTGCAAGCCACCATACCTGGCTTGCTTATTTATTTATTTATTTATTTTAGAAATGAGGTCTCATCATTTCTAAAATAAACTTCTGGTCTTGAACCCCTGGGTGCAAACAGTCCTCTCGCCTCAGTCTCCAAAGTGCTGGGATTGCAAGCGTGAGTCACCATGCCTGACGACCCATCTCTAGTTGTGACAACTAAAATTGTCAAATGTTTCCAGGGTGTGGGTGGGAGGTCAAAATCAGTGGTGAGAACCACTGCCTAGAGGATATAGCATAATAGTAGCTTTATGTGATCATTAGGGCATTTGAAATACAAAGAAAACATGAAAAAAATAATATATAAGATTCAACATACGTGAAGTGACAAACAGTGAATGAAAGACGAATGAATTAGCATTACTACCAGCTGGTGTCCTACTTACATTATAGAAATGTGACAGCACATGGGATATGAACTCCTTAGGAAGATTTTTATACACATTTCTGAATGCTACAGTACTTCTGAGTTTTCTCTTCAAGGTTTCATATGCCATAGGCATGTGCCTATTTTCTATCCAAAATCACAGTCAGACTAAAATGATTCTCTGAAGACCTGAAAAGTTTATTTATTTATTTGTATTCATGTAGAATTTGGGGGGATGAAAGAACTGTAATTAACATATTCCAAATAAACATAGATTATTCTAATAAATTTGTACTGTTTGATAAGAACAATAATGACAATAATAAAACTCAAAACAGAATTTGTGTTTGTTTGCTGGCTCTTCCTCTTCCATTCAACTTATATTTGTCAAGATTTCTCAAAGATGCAACCTGGATTCTCTTGTTTTCTCTATGTTCTTTCCCCAAAGAAATCTCATTCACTGTTGTGGCTTTAAGTAAGAAACCTCAGATGCCCACATTTCTATCTCTAGTTCAAACTTTTCTTTTGAGCTCCAAGTTGACATACCAAATGCCTACTGTTCATCTCCACTTAGGTGTCTTACAGACAGTTTACATTTAATACCATATTGTATTAAATCTAAGACACCATTGATTGTGAGCCAAGTTTATCTGCACTAAGATTTAAAAAGTACTGCCGATGGATTTATGACAAATGCTAAGATAACTTTGATTCTAAGATACATCTTGATTTCAGAGAGGCTAAAATTGTTTTAGAAAACAATGTGATTTATTAGAGTAGTATCAAAAAAATGAAATACTTAGGAATAAACGATTAAGAGAAGTGCAAAACTTGTATTCTGAACACTAAACAACATAGTTGAAAGAAATAAAAGAATAAATGGAAAGACATCCCATGTTCATGGATTAGAAGACAATTTTGTTAAGATGGCAATATTACCCAAGTTGACCTTCAGATTCAGTGCAACCCCTATCAAAATCCAGCTGATAGCTTTGCATAAATCAACAAACGTATTCTAAAAATAATACAGAAACTCCAGTAGCCCAAGATAGTCAAAACTCCTTGAAAAAAAGAGCAAAGTTGGAAGATTCACACTTCCCAATTTCAAAGCTTACTACAAAGCTGCAGTAATTTAAACTATGGTG